TAAAAATTATAAAAACTAAACATCCTACAGTATTTTTACAGTCTTTATTTTACAGTTAAAATATGTTTTATCAAATAAAGTCTAATGTTACAACTAATCACGGATCCCTTTAAAGAATCCATCAGTCATTTTAGTTTAATTATGTTCAGTTTTGTCCTGTTTTGGTTTTGATCGTTTGTCCTGGATGTCTGACAACCWGCACATCCAATATGTTTATTCACCTGGAGAAATGGTGGTAAAAAGATGACTTTGTGAACACATCTGCACCATTTAGATATTTTTAACTTGGATTGGCAACGAGAGCCATTTTCCGTTCCAGCCACTGAGTCCAGATGTAGATGTGTGGACTGTTGCTCTGTATTTTTTATTACCTGTAACAAAGTTTCACATCGCTCTCGTGTCCCAGGGCTTTATCTCAGCGTGGAGGGCTTCCTGTTCTGGAGCATCTCAACTTGTCTGGATGCCTCTTCATCACTGAGGTGGGCCTGCAGGAGCTGGTGTCGACCTGTCCTTCCCTCAATGACGAGCACTTCTATTACTGCGACAACATTAATGGTAACACAAGTGAAACTGCTGCTGCTGGTTTTTGTGTCTGACTGAAAATCATGTTTATGATAAAAGAAGGAAGTTGTCCTTGAATGTTAAACTATAATTTTATCAATATACACAGGTCACCACCTGATTTAACAAAGCAAATAGATAAGATAATTACTGCATGTTCACTTAGCAACAAGTTATTTAACAATAACTTATTCAAAACACTTCTTATTTGTTCAACAACCACGTTTGGTCATGGAAAAGATGTTGATCTGTTAGAACTGTCAAATTATTTGCATAAGCAGAGAAAACTGCTAAGATTGCTGAAACCACTAAAATCAGGTTAAGAACTGTGGAAGGCATGAATAAAAAATTCAGTTCTGACGTTGTGTCACTAGCTGCGTTTCCATTGCAAATGTACGCAAAACTTTGTCGATATTCTGTTAATGTCGAAAAACAGTTTCACAATTGCGGTGTTTCTATTAGTAAGAAATGCTATTGAAGTCGCGTGAATACGTTTGTTCTCGCGATGTCATTACAAACATGGCAGCAATGGATGTAAACACATAGCATGTTGCTACCATGGCACTAGCGCTCATCATCAGAGGAGACCMTGGCGTCTTATCCAGGCTTTCGAGTGACAAGCCCCTTTTACTTTGGAGCGGCGTTTTTGGGAAATTGTATTCAGTGAGTTTACTACTTTCTTTTACAACTTCCATCATTTTACTACTACTTGTACTTCCTGTTGTCTTCTTCTTTGTCATCGTCTTTTTCGCCAGTAGAAACAGCCGGTTGTTGATCACGTGACTCCCGTGATGCGAAAAAAGTCATCCTAGCGCAAAAACGTTTTTGTCGAAAAAAATTAAGTTTTTTCGAAATTGACGTGTTTCCATTGTGCAAATTTATTTTCGAAATTCTATTTTACGCATTTTCATAGTCACTGGAAACGCAGCTTCTCAGGAGTCAGAATGGTTCCTCCTCATTTTCTGTCCAACTCTTCGGGGAAATTTGGCGCATCACTTCACGTGACTCATGTATCATAATTTTTTTACAAACAACCATGTTTTGAGACCGCGGTATAACAAAATACCTTCATAGCGCCCAAGCCTGATTCACTTTATATAACACAACAGTTACAGTAAAGTAATAAATTTACAGTAAAATATGTAGGGCCTCACAGGGTGGTCACAGGTTCAGCTCCTGGCCTTTCGTGTTCTCTCCATGCTTGTGTGTGTTTTCTCCGGGAACTCTGGTTTTCTCCCTCATAGTTGAGCCCCCTCTCCACCAGCGCACCTGTATGCGGTTCACCTCAGCCGAATGTCCCATTTCCAGTTCCAACTACACACTCAGAAACACCTCTGAGGTGGTCCTAAGTGTGTAGGTTGACATCAGCACCATGCTGCTCATGGATTGATTGACAGAAGCAAGGCGTTACTTGTGCAAACGTAACCAGTGAACTTTCCGCTGGAGAGAGACGCTTTTTGTTTTTAAAATCCAGGTGTGACATACAACTTGGTGAAAGCAGTGATAAAACCATGGTTCAGCATGAAGGTGTAAAACTTTTTGGTGATCTTGGGAAAGGCAGAACCAGCAAACACTTCCTGGAGAAAGAGGCGAAGGAGACGAGCGCTGAATGAAGCCATCTTAAAATCAGCAAATATCCTGGGAGGTTCCGGAAAAACTGGCCGTCCACAATTACATGAGCAATTACAGCACTGCGACTAAATAGATAAATAATAAAGTCCCAACTGTCCAACTACCAAACCTGACCAGAGCCGAATAGGATAAGACTCGACAATGGAGAGGAGGTTTTGGTGTCCATTAATTATCCCTAGATGTGATTGAGTGAATGATTTGTCTTGTATTTTTGTCCCTGTGACGGACTGGCGACCTGTCCAGGATGTACGCCGCCTCTCACACACTGACATGAGCACCAGCTTCTTCATGACCCGGAAAAGGGAAAAAATTGGTAAAGAAAATGGTTGGATGGTGTAAGACTAATGTATTTTTATCCCTTTTTACTCAGAGAACATGATGCGAACTGCGGTCCCTTGTACCAGAGATGTGGACTTGTGACTCAGACTTGGACTTGAGTCGCACTTAAGTCCCTACTATTACAGACTTAGACTTGACTTGGACTTGTGGTTTGAGACTCACGAACAATACAAGTCTTTTCATTGCCCGGCTCACGATTCTCACTCCGTTAATACACATCCATGCTCCGGTACTTTGAGAGTAAATACGTAAAGTTTTAAGAGCAAAGACATWTACTCCTGCTCTCTGATTGAAAATATACGCTCTTCATTAAAGTCTGAACAATTCTTCCATACACTCCGCTACCCCTCACCTGACAGTGGGAGGGGCCAGCGCCGTACAGTGTTAATGATGCGTACCCTACATGACAAACAGAGCTTCAGCATGCCAGGTGTGTTGCAGTAAGCTATTCATTATAAGCTTTGTTTACAGAGACTATTCAACACCACGACAGAAACTGGCAAAATGCAAAGTGTGTGGAGTCCAAATCCAAAATTAGTTTTTGTGACGACTTGTGCAAGTCCTTTTACTTTAAGGATTCTGGTTCATCATCCTCATTGACATGCTTTTATGGATTTAAAAATATTTTTCTGGTATTTTATTGTAAAATCAGCAGCAGACTTGTTGGATTTGTTCTTTGTCAGTGGCAAGATACAATTACAATAAGACTACAAGTGCAAAATACAGTTAACAATACTCTAAATGCTTGATTGTTTCTTCAACCTTAACC